ATTGCAAAAATTATGGCATAGAATGGAGACATGTTAGAAGCTTAATGGTAAACTTTCAATTTGGAAATCAAAATATAAGAGCATTTCAAGCCACTGTCGAGGAAAACTAATGGGCCTTCCACAAGCCTAGATGCAAACCATTTCACCAAGGAGCAATTAAAGCCCCTGTACAAATTAATTCAATCTCCAAACACTAACTCCATGTTGCCCTTAAGTACAAAAGGGTAAATCTTTAGCCTTTGTATTGTTAGATGTTAATTCTAACTTGATTCATTCTTGCATAATTGATTCTGACAGAACTAATCACATGAGTGATTGTTCAAAATTATTCGTCCTATAGATCTTGTGCATGTAATAAAAAGGTCAAAATTGTATATGGGTCACCATCAGTAATTTTCGGGATAGGAACAATCAAACTCAACTCATTGTTAACCCTTCACGACGTGGTCCATATTACCAATTTGTCTCATAATTTATTGTCCTTTAGTAAAATTACTTTTGATCATCACAATTAAGCTAATTTCTACTTTTCTTGTGAGTTGTGAGAATTGACCATTAGAAAGATGATTGGCAGTGCTAAAGAAAACGATGCATTATATTATTTTGATGATGAACTTAATGCGAATAGATACTGTCAAAGTACTTGTTTTAATTCTGAGTTTATTTCTAAAGTCAATGATATTATGCTATGAAATTATAGGTCAGGTCATCCTATTTTTCAATATTTAAAATTCTTATTTCTCAATTTTCTTAAAATTAAAACTTAAACTTGTCATCTTTCCTTTGTAAAGTTTGTTAGTTTATCAAACATCATCATGTTTTTTCCTCCCCAAATTTACAAATCAACTACATCGTTTACTCTAATTCATATTGATATATGCGGTCTTTGAAACATCTCACACTCAAGGAAAAAATGGTTTGTGGCCTTTATTAATTATCATACAAGGTTAAATTGGGTGTATTTAATGAAGAAATTCAAGTGGAAATAATTTTTAAAATTCCTACACTATGGTATAAACACAATTTCAATAAAATTATTCAAATATAATGAGTAATAATGGCTGAGAGTATTTTAAAAATATTTTCATCAAAGTTCTGATGTCGATACCTCACAACATGATATGACTGAAAGAAAAAAACAAACATTTAGTGGAAGTTGTTCGGACAGCTCTATTTACAAATTAGATGTCAAAATATATATGGTGTGAAGACGTTCGTACTGCTACTTTCCTCATTAATAGAACATCCAATAAGACTTTAAACTCTGAAATATATTTTGATGTTTTCCCAAAATTTACCGAATAATTTGGCTCTCATCTTTCTTAAATTTAAAGATATTTGGGTGTACTATATTTTTTCACATTAGTAGTCATAATCAAGGAAAACTTGAACTCCGAGCCAAATAATATTTTTGTTGGTTATGCCCCTACTCAAAAGGGGTATAAATATTTTGATCATTTTTTTAAACAAATATTTGCTATAATTAAGTCACATTTTCTTAATTATAACACTTCTATACACCTCATGGTCAAGGGGAGACAACAAATATTCGACTACTATTTATCAAAAAATTTTTACAAACCGAAATGTTTCAAAATAATATATTCCTAAACTTGATTGTTTAACCTTAAAATCCAAGGTATATTATATCAGGAGGAAGTGAATCGAGTTTTTTATATATTGAAGATGATTATTATCTTCCTATGTCATCTTATGATGTTTATAATCTTATAATAACTAACAAATATAAAACAGAAAAACTACGATATTGGTACCATTTGACATTATTTACTCGTGACAAAAGCAAAACTCAAAACAAAGTCCTCCAGGTAATGTCCTCACTAAGCCTTTATCCTATGATCAATCTACTTAATATTTGAGTTCTGTTTCTTCAAGTTCTAAACCTGAGTCTATCCCTAATCCTAAATCTAATAATTGTACTCTTCCCATTGTTTTTTGTAAGGAAGTGAGGTCTTGCACATAACATCCATTGTCAGGGGTATACATAAGAACAAGGAGATTATAAAATATTCTTAAGACATTCAAAGGATGGGAAGATAGCCATATTGATTGTGTATGTGGTTGATATAATTCTCATAGGAGATGACATATATGAAATGAACTGGTTGAAAACTTTGGCCTCTTTAGTTTTTGAGACCAAGAACATAGGATCTTTGAGGCATTTGTTTGGCATGGAGGTTGCTAGATCAAAGAAAATGATTGTTGTTTCCCAATGGAAGTATGTTATTGATCATCTAAAGGAAATTGAGGTGGCTGGTTGTAGGTCTTCAGACACTCCAATTGATTCTAATAAAAAATTGGGAGATGGGAATGAAGGTACCTAATGAATAAAACTCCATATCAAAATTTTGGTAGGAAAACCGATATACTTATCACGTACATTGCCAAACAGCCTTTTCTATAAGTTTGTTAAGTCAATTTATGTTTTCACTTTATGAGAAATACTTTTTGAAGCAGTTAACAGGATTCTCATATACCTAAAATGTATACCAGTCAAGGGCTTACTCTTTCAGAAGAATACACAATATAATATCAAGGCATACACTGGTGCAAATTTAGCAGGCTCAACTATTGATAGGAGATCGATGTCCGGATACGGTACTTTTATCTAGGAAAATTTGGTTACATGACAAAGTAAGAAATAGAATGTGATGGCAATGAGTAGTGTTGTGGTAAAATAACATGCTATGGCTAATGGAGTAGGTGAGATATTATGGCTGATGAGAATTATTGAAGAGCTGGAAATTTTGATAAACATTCCAATGAAGATGTATTGTGAAAATAAAGTTGCCTTCAACATTGTAGAAAATTTCGTTCTACATGATCACAAAAACATGTGAACATCGATCGACACTTCATAAAAGAGAAGATTGATTGTGTAGCTTTTTGGATGTCTTTTACTCCGACAACGCAATAATAATAATAATATATATTTTCACCAAAGGACTTTTCAGGCCTAGTTTTGAGTTCCTTATAATCAAGTTCAGCATGATAGCTATCTATACTCCAACTTGATGGGGGTGTCGAATTTTAGGAATTTCTGCTTTTGATATGTTCTATTTTTATTATTTCTTTTTTTTAGCAGTTTCTATTTTAGAATTATCTATTATTTGTAATTCTTATTTATTTTTTCTAGCATGGGAATTTTGTGACTGATTTGGTCGCTTTTCTAATGTTGTGGCCTTCCCTTGCTATTTATTATATAACCGAGTCTTAGGAAATTGAAGAGGAATAATCATTTTTTCACTCCCAAAATCTACAACTATTATGAATAATATTATTTCAAATCATTTCACTAATTTTTCCAATGTTATTTTGGCAAAATTGACACTCTTGGTGTCATCCTTTTTAGGCCAAGCAAAGAATAGTCTTCCATCTCAAAATTTTAATCTATTTAAACATTGAGGTGAGTGCATCAATTTTGATTCTTTAGATAGGACAGTGATAATCATTAATCGTATAATCATCTTTGATAGTTTGTGCTCTTAGTGGGGGCATCTTTGCACTAATATTTTCGTTTAAAGGGATTGTTTTAATCAATAATATTATCACAAATGCGATGTTATTAAGTTAAAATAGATCTCATAGATTGCGCAAGATAAGTGGATTTCTCAAATAAGTCAACAAGTATTTTAGAATTAGAATTGTAAGGTAGAGAATTTTATGGATAGTAGCTAGTCTAATATTGGATGCCTTATTAGCTCCTATTTGTGCAAATAGATTTTTAATTATTTATTGGGAAAATTACATGATAGGTAAACCCACTTCTTATGGATTTACCTATCTTACATCTAAACTTTCATTTTTACTCACATAGCACTTTACCTATGGATGGAAATACAGATTTGACTATTAAAAGATGGTAATGAGTGCTATTTTTCATATGATGTTTGTAATTATAAAAATTTGGGTGTGAGATGGGTAAATATGAAATTTTGGGTGTTATGTATGTAAAAGCTCCTTATTTATTTTAGGGTGTTCATATTAGCCTCTAGCCTATTAGTGCTTTATGTAAGGTCATTTTTTGAAGAGGGACTTTTTGTTGTACTCAAGGTTATTTGTAATAATTTCCTTAAATTATCCATTTTGGTAATGGTATTCATCAAAATTATTTTAAACTTATCACTAAAGTGTTTGATATAATTGAAAATAATAATGAAAAATTGGGCACGTGCAATCTAACAGGCTATCTAAATGATATTCAAACATATTTGCTTTATTTATTAGCTTACTTCTGTGCAAAAATAATGAATATTCTCTATAGATATAGGATTGAGAAGTAGCTACATCTGTGTGCCGAACTTAGCTGGAACTCAAAATATTTTTAATTCAGTATGACTTGAGTTGCATTTTGATTTTTGCTGGTTTGAAATGACTTTATTTTGTGCCAACCAAAAAATTGAAAAGAACTAATTTTTCTTTTATTATTAAAATAAAAAGTTGGCAAAAGCATTTTATTGACTCCTCACTATTAGCACTTCATTCCTACGATACTATTTTCATTCTAATTCAAATCCTAGTAGATCAAATCCATGTTTACTTGAAATGATTCAAAATTGAATAGCACATAATTCGAGTTCACATATATTTATAGTTGATTTGAATCAAATTTTGAGCCACCCTAAGCAAAACTAACTTGAAATTTTGTTCAAGCGAAGTATTTGGCTTGGAGTCGAAATGAAATGATTTAGAGTCAATTTTGCATAATCTCAAAACCCAGCTGTGTTGTATAGAACAATGTGGAGACTTAAGACACATAATATAAAATTGCAAATGGACAGACAACTCCCTGATAATGAAATTAAAAGAGGCAAAAAAGAAAGTTTAGAGGAGCTATGGTAGTAATACTAGTTAAAAAATTCTTCAGTGAAATTTTGCAAAAATATTGCTAGCTGGATACTAATTTTCTTATTTTGACATCCATCTTTCTTCCTTATATTGACAAATGCTTATTTTACCGCCTGTTTTCGGTTTTGCAGATGAACTCTCTTGAAGCTCTGCTGCAGGTTTGCCACCAACTTCCTGAAAGAAATTATAGTCTTTTGGCTTATCGAACAAGAAGAATCAATTCTACTACTCCACTTGGACGATCCATTGCCAAGGTTGGATGCGAACCAATCTTGCATATGAGGCATTTTCAGGTCAGCCATCTATGCATTCATGCACAATAAATTTTAGGGGGATTTACGTACTTAGCATTCAAAATTATTAATATTACATATCTCACATGAAAGCGTATATTTATCCATGATATGCAGCCTCAGCAGTATTCCTGAGTATGTAATATTAATAATTTTAGGTGCTATGTAAATTCTCTTATTTTTCTTCATCAACCCAGTTCTCTTTCCACTTACCCCAAGATCAATGCCAAAACTGACATGTAATCGCTCTGTCAAAATGGTAATAAGTGTTCCCAGGTTTAGAACATTAATGTACTATATACCCAGTTCATAGAAATAGTGTATGATTCATCTATTCTTTTATATTTATATATTTTCTAAGAGAAAAAAGGATAATCAATGATGCTCTCACCAGTGCAAAATTTGGGGAGAGATTGATTGATGTACATAATCCTTACCAAGAACATATTCTCTTTATTTTATCAGTTTTTATTTTTATATTCCAACTTATGCTAATTATTTGGTTCTTAAATGACTGGATTACTAAATTTACATTTTCCCTACTTATAACTTACCAATACATTTCTCGGAACTTAGAAGCTCCTTAAGAATGGTTTTTCATTTCCCTTCTCTTGTGTTGCATGTTTTGAACCTTGAACCCCAATTTAGAGACCAAAATGCAATACTCATTACCTTTATCCATTTTCATTTATATGTGACTTCAGGCCACGGGAAGATTGTCTGAGAAGCTTGTTTGTCAGATTCTTGGTCAGTCTATTGAGGAGGCCGTAGCTTCGTGATAGTTACTTCTGCAGAAGATAACATTTCAATCACTGACTTGGCCAATACACACCCCACGGAAGACAGCACAAATTTAAAGAGGTTGATTTCGTGAGATATTTGCCAAATCAATTATTATTGTTCCTTCCATTGTTGCAGAAGCTTGCCTTTCATTTTTTGTCATTGAACCGTTTTCCATATTTCTTAGTTTGAGTGTTGGTCTGTTTAATCATAAGATTTGACTAGTGTCAAAATTGTTTCATCGAAGATAGGAAAAGGTAGAAAGGTTTATATACATGTAAAATAATGATGTCAAAATTGCTTCATCAAATATAGGAAGGCATATAAAGGTTTATATATATATATGCATGTAAAATATTGGATGTGAGGCCTATTGTAAGATTAATAAACTTGCGGACCACATCCATTACGGAGCTTTGCCTGCTGTCGGTGCTAGATGTAATCTGATTGTACTCGTTCTTCATTACTATATTTATATATATATTTTTTATGGAAAACATGTTTGAACTACTTTGACCAGAATAGTATGAGTCTGATCGAAGATAGAGAGCATAGATTGGAAGGAAAAAAATATCTTTACAGATCAAGAGAAAGAGGGCTCCATATTTCAAATCTTGTCTTCCTTCGCGATCAAAATATTGTTTTGAGGTTTTACTAAATAAATGAATATTTGTATTTCTTTTTTATCTTTCCCTGTTTATGTAATGCCAGGAAATATTTATGTTGGCTTTGGCGGATGTTTTGTCTTCTTACTACCTTGTCTTAAACAATCACTTTTCATGATGAGTTATTTCGATTGGCTTGGATCTGTTTTTTCCTCATTGATGAATGATCTTGTGGGCTCACTCATTTAGGGTGCGTTTGAGGCAACTTGTGCTTATCCAGATAAGCAATTTATCCTGAAATGCGGCCCGTGTGTGGCTTGCGGGGTTCGACCCGCGCCTGCGTTTAGTGTAAAACCCTAACCGCATTTTCGGATAAGTAGCCGAAACTTGTTTTCCAAACGGTGAGACGGTGTTTTAAGCTGCCCCAAACGGGCCCTTAGTGGTGGTTTTTTTATTTGACACGCCTTCATTGGAAGTCATTCTTGAAGTCATTCTTTGGGTAATCAGTTTCAACTAACTCCTCAATCTGCGACGGTTTCTTGTCTCGAAACATGCTTTATATTTTCGAGATATCAACAAAATTCATGCTTGCCATCCGATAGAGTGTTGGCATCACAAGAGCCAATGTGCAAACACTTGAAATAGTATGGGCCTGTATCGATTCTTCTATTTTCTCCTTGGGATTGTTTGCTTGAGGAAACTTATTACCCCTGGTGACCATTTTTAGCTTTCAAGTGATTATGCTCCAATCTTCAGTCAAGCTCTAGCTTTCCAAAGTGCTCATATTATTCCTCTAAAGCTCTACTCTTTTGCCTTCCCTCTTGTTCTTGGTTACTGCTCTTCTTTCTAGTATGCCCAAGAGCTCGTCCACACTTTCTCTGATTTTCTTTTGAGTTCTCTCAATCCTTCAGCTTTGAAGAAATTACCTTTTAGTTGGGCTTCTAGACTTATGGATGTCTTCCCTGCACTTATTGCTCATTTTGTCCTTATCAGAGGAGCATGAATTGAAGCACCAATCTTTCATGTTATCAAACTCACGTAACAACCTTTACGTCCCTACCCTTTTTTAATCTTCGGTCTTTTTAGAGCATTCCCATGATATCATAAGTAGAATTGTGTTAAGTATGTCAATTTCATTAAAATTGTTTTGCGTCTTTTTGGAGCATTCCCATGATATCATAAGTAGAATTGTGTGTTAAGTATGTCAATTTCATTAAAATTGTTTTGAAATATATACGTATGTGTGTGTTGTTATAAATATAATTTTTTTTAATTAAAATCAAATATCAAAAAAATAGATTTTTTAAATTTATTTTATAAATAATTCTAGAAATTTCAAATGCATTATATTCTTTTTTCACTTCTGTTAAAATTGTCTTGGAACTTCAAGTATTTTGAACCAATCAGCTCAAATCATGTAAATTTATTGCGTGTAGATGGCATAAACTGTTATTTAGCTCTCGGAGGACTTGTGTTTTTTTGTGTTTTAATTTGCTGATGATTATTATTATTATTTAGTTGTTTGGGTTCTTTTCAGTTTTGTCTATTTCCTTGTGAGGTCTTGTTTGTTCTTTTCTGTTTTTGTTTGTATTTTCTTTTTTTTTTTGGGAAAAAAAAACTAAGAAAACCTAGGTTTTTTTCTTTTTTATGTAGTTGGTTTCCTTTTGTCTTGTTTTGTAATTTTATTCGTGGTAATAAAATTAAGGAGCTGAATAATGCTCTTCAAAAAAAAAATTGATTTTTTTTTTAAAAACATATAAAACACATGAAAGCATTATATATGTATTTAAAAATAAAACATTATATTATAAAACTCACTCTATAAATTATTTTTTTATTATTTTAATCTATCATATGAAAAAAAAAAAGAATCTATCATATAAAGATAAAAAATATTCTCAAATTGCTCTACTTAAAAACTTATTATAATACATCTGTCTAGGAGAAAACCAATCATTCAGAACAAGCGACATCATTAGTATGATTGATATATTGTTGCTTGTCGCGTACTAAAAAATTTGTGGTTGTAGAATGAGACATCAGAATCTTTTATATGGAAAAACTCTCGAAAAAAAATCATTAAGTTTGATCAAGTTAAAGTTATCATTGTATGTTTATAAGTATGAGGGTACATTTATCTTGCATGATAGGGAGAACGAGATTCTAATCTTACAGTGAAAATTAGACTTATCCTTGTAGATTTAAGAAAATATGTTAGAAAATTCAATAACGATCGTAGTCTAACTAAAACGGTTAAAAATAATGGTCACCGAAAGTTGGTGGTCGATAATGGCAGGTGGTGATGATGGTTGGTGGTCGACGGTGGTCAGCGGTTACGGAGGCCAGTGGTTGATGATTACTGGTGGCTAGAGTGGTCGGTGGTTACACAGATGGTGTTCTACCAAAACAAACTAGAACTTTTCTTCTTCTCTTCTCTTTTTCTCCTCCCCCACCAAGTGAAGATAGGGGGTCTATTTATAGCTTTTTGGGTGGGTCATTTTAGTCTTTCGGTGCATAATTTCCCTAACCACCTGATTTGACCATTCATGATGACTCCCTTGATTATATGTGGGCTTTTAAGAATTTGGTTACCTTAATGTCCTCAAAAGTGAATGATATCAGGCTAGTTGGATTCCACTCATTGCATTGCTCGATTCGATTATAAATATGTCAAATTTGAAGTTCATTTGACTATTCAATTGACAATTCAAAACATCCAATTTTGTTCTGACGGCTTGATTGGACCCGGATTTAATCAATTTTACAGTTGTTGGATCCGTCTAGTTGAGATGCTCAATTTGATTACAAGTTTAATGAGATCAAAACTTGGATGATCATGATTTTGTTTTCAAAATTTTTCATATGAAAAATGCATCAAGATTTATTTTTGATCCTATAATGTTTGGTGCTATAACAATGTTCATGTTGAAGACCTTCAACGTACATCATTGGCATATGTTATGCCATGCATAATTTATCTCAATGTTACACTGGTGCAAATTCTTATATTTTACGGGCAAACTATCCATGCTAAACAACTAACTAAAAACCTTTTTTTTGGGAGGGGGGGGGGGGGGGGGGGGCGTACTTAAGCAGCATAGCAACTT